AAGATCTCTAATTATGGCATTTGTCTGGAAAAAAAAGAGGTCATCTGCCTATATGCATCTGTCTGTGCATATTAGAAGAATTTCTAAGATAATTTGAGGTACTATTTCATATAATCCTTTCTCCCAAGGAGAGAGAAACAATCCTTTGAGTGCATCCTTATTGAGATATTTCTTATCTTGTCTGCTGCAGGCTACAGCATCTAAACCCCTCAAAGTCCCCAACAGATTTCAGGTCCAAATGAAATCATGTTTGTCTTCTGTGTTATTACTTTTCAAGAGAGCAATTTGTGATGCAAATATTGCTGGATGACAAGAAGTTCTGCACTGGGGGAGCAGCCTTGGCCTAGCACTGTAACCTGATTTGGGAATGAAAATCCTGCTTTCTAACAAGAGGGCTTCTCTGCTTCAGGCTTTTTGTTATAAATATCTTCAGGAAATTCACTATTATTGAATGCATCATTGCTGATGAAATTTCCCATGTTTGACACATAGAAACCACATAGAGTTGAAAGAGCTAGCCATGGCCTTGCTAAGGAGAAGGTATAACTCAGTAGAGAAAAGATGGACATCAGTGAATTGATATCTCATAGATGTGAGATTTATGATTTGGTCCATTCTTAACTGTATCACTTCAGTAAGATGTTTTGTCTGCCCATTTTACATAATTTCTTAGAACTAAATGAAGATAATTATAATAAAGCACCAAGGGAATTACTAGTATAAGCTAGGTTTACTGGACAGACATGTTTGCATATAAACAAGTGCAAATCAGTGAGGAGGTGCCACCAAAGAATCTTAATTAAACTTCCCCAGAGCCCCTCACTATAATTGTTTTTAGAATATCTGCAAAAATTTCTGCAAAAGAGCTCAAATGTGATTAAACTTCGTATTTCCTGTTGCTCTGCCTTGTGAGAGCTAAGTTTGGTCTGGAACTTCATGGTGTTCCTTCTGCTTTTGTGGTAATACATAAAATCCTCTGCAGAGGGCATGTGGTTGGTAGTGTCCTCTTTTATAGATGCCAGGTTTGCAAAAAATCAAAAAACAAAAAACAACTCCCCCCACCCCCAAACTTGTAAAAGCCTCTGATAATCTAAAATTGGGACCAAAAGCACTATCTGTGAACCAAAAAAAAATTATGATATTTTAATGTAGATTTCTGCAAACATGTAAATTTCAACACTCCCTCAACGAGGTATAAAGTCCAAAGAATTTCTAAACGGGGTTCAGAGGAAATTTTAGGCACAAGCCACTCTGAACTGGCTGCAGCCAATAAACCTGCTTCCTGATAATTCCTCGGATGTCCAGCCTCATCCGTCCTACGTCAAAGGAATGAGGAGGAAAGCGAACATTTTGTTTGCTTTTATTCTGTAGAATGTTTCTGAGAGGGTTGCAACCCTTGGAAATAACTGTTAGGATTTCTTCCTGCTAAAATAGTTTAAAACTCAGTTGACTAGAAGTTCTCTTGAGAACTCTAAGGAGACGGGTTTCTTGGGTACTGATTCAGTAAATATGAGCCAGGAGAGAAGGGAGTTCAAGAGTCTGGTGTTTCTAAGGAGTAACCAGGTTTGGGGATGACAGAGACTCAGATTTACTGAACTTCATTGAGTGTGTGTTTTGTGCTAGGCAGTGGCTAACATTTTATAAAGGATGACACGAGGAGCTTGCCCAAGATCTGGGAAACTGGCTTTTTAGAATGCTCAGTGTATAGATATGGAAACTGAGGCCCAGAGAGGCTTGGTAATAAGGCTTCAGTGGCAAGGCTAAGAGGTCATGCTCAGCAGGAAGCTCTCAGTACTGTGCTCAGTGTGGAGCATGCTGTAGTGATAAGGAGGTACACCCTGCCGACCTTCTGTGACCTTGGGCAAACCATCAGCTGCCACAGGGTCTTACCTTGGCTCTTGGCAAAGCCTGCAGTAACTGTGGCAGAGCCTGGGGTTCTCCAGTCACATGAACACACTCGTGTGGCCTAACGAGGAGGTTTAAGTGTATGATTTGTCACTTTCCTGGGCTGCCCACCTGTGAGCGCTGTGCCAGCTCCCACCACCCCAGCAGCAATGCCAGCCTTCTCCTCCAGGGGAGACATCCGCTACTGAGTGAGTGACAAGGTCATTCAAAGACAGAAATTTGAATCTGCCGCAGTTAATGAAAAGACAAAACCATTCTCACTTCATTTTAATTGTTACAGCTGGGAAGTTCTGGCTTCTGCAGGCATCACGTGGGTCAGGTTTGCTGTGATGGGTCAAGCATCACTGCTGTCTCCACTGGGCCGACTCTTAACGCAGACAGAATCTTGCTGCCCCGACAGGCAGGGCTTCAGGCTCACTCTGCGTGAGCTGGAGGGGCGTCAGCCCTACTCGTCCTTCTACCAGAATGTGGGCAGGGCTGGGGGCGATGTCTATGGAAGCTCTCTGGGGAAGTCGGAGATGAACTGGATCATGATGGGTTCCTCCCATGTGACACGTCAGGGATCATGTGACCGTGGGAGGTGATGCTGCCTCATGGCTGCATGTTTAACGGAAGACTCTAGTGGCCCGTGGGGAAAACAGTGCACTAGCTCCAAGGACACCAGTGGGGAGCTGTTTAGTTGTCGCAGAGCGTGGCACAGAAGATGGGGTGATGGCCAGGAGCTCTTGAGACGTGTCGTTTCTCTACTTCCTAAGCTGCTTTGAGCAGCTCCACTGTGGACCTACTGGGGAAGTCAGGAGTGTGTCTACACCGCTGCTAATGCAGAGGCAGCTGGCCCACCCTGCTGGGTCCTGACCACTGTCATCCTGGTGTGCCAGGCTCCCTTTGCAGGTTAGTCCTTCCCTGCTACTTCTCAGTCCCTCGGCAGCTGCTCTGGCCTGGTGGTCTGCAGCAGACCTTCTCCCTCTGTGTAAAGAACTTGGAGATCTCCTCCTTTGGGCTTGGAAATAGTTTAGCCATGGCCACTAGAGACCTTGTGTCCCCCTCGGGTCACATTTGAGATGCTGACCATATTTAGTCAATTGCACTTGAGGCCAAAGGAAGAGAGTATGAACTTCAGTTTTAAGCCCAAGAAGTGGACCCTGTGGTCCACCTTTGCTGTCTCCCACAGGGGCAGCTCTGTCACCATCTCTCCTCCGAGCATTTCCTCTGCTACCCTTAATGATTAATTATAGCTCCCAGTTTTCCAAACGATGGGTATCGATTTTTTTTCATGATAGTCACAGTATACCAAAAGGACTTCATTGTCTTGGAACAGTGAAATTAACTTTTAGAACAAAGGGGGAAAGAAAAAATTTATCTTTGATCAAATAATGATGTGGAAAGTTCCTAGGAACCTGGCTGGCTATCTTGCTGTAGTAGCTCTCTGGGGACATCACATCTTGTTCTATATATAAACATACGTTGCAATTCCTCCGCAGACGCGCAATGGATTTGGGATGGACTTTGTGTTGTACTTGCCGCCGCCGTGTTTGCTTCTCATTAAGGCTAGCACTACTCACTTCCCAGCTGATAGATTATTTTCATTACGTGGTTTCTTTTCAGGCTATTTGAAAACGAGGGGTCGTCTTCGGCTAATGAGCTTCCAATGACCAGAACGGCGTCTTCTGTTAAGGCACTTTGGAATTTGATTAATTGGGAGAGCAGTCCTGGTCTTCTCTGCAGGCATCTTTCATAAATCATTCCCTATCGTCTGCAGCAAGACATCCTTGCTGTATTACTGGGGGTGGCTTTGCAGCACCTTCAGAAACCCTGGAAATGAGCTCCATCCTCGCGTGTTAAATTCTTTCTGCATAACTGTGCCCATCTAGAATCGGACAAACCCCTGGGAAGCCACATGTCTTTCCCCGATGTCTGGTGGGAGTTGACGGATTGAATGATGGTTGGTGGCTACTGTGAAGAGATGACAATGACTAACCCACATGGTTGGCCAAGGTGAGCTGGAGGCATCCACTTGGGCTACTGAACTACCCTTTGAAAGCCTGTGTGCTTCTAAAAAAATTTTTCCTGGAATGCTTTTCAGTTTTGCTGCTCAAAATAGACAGTGGGCTCAGAAGCAGCTGAGCCCACCCCACCCTCACCCTTGCCTGAGGGAAGGCTGCAGACTTGTGTCATTTCTTTAGAGGCATTTTCCAGTGGTGTCAATATTGGATGCTATCTATTTTTAAAAAGAACTCATTCTTGACCAGTCTCTCCACCTCACCCGTTGAACATTTACTGGCAACTACCTAGTGGCCATCTGTCATCGACATAGCATTTCCCTCTGCATGGGTAGAATGTAGCAATTATGAAGAAAGAATCCATGCACCGCCGCTGAGAGAAGTCATGATCCAAGTCATTCTGCATCCCTGCAGTTAGGAGGTCAAGTTCACTTCTCAGGATGAGATAGCTAGTCAGAGGTCTAACCAGACACAAAACCAAGAGCCCTAACTAGTCCACCATGAGAAAGGTGGGATTTATGAAGCAAAGGAACCAACTCATGGCAGGTCTTTGGGCAGGGCTTCTGAGTACTTGGAGGTAACGTGCCCAAATTGACCCTTATTATCTTGGATGAAGAAGTCCAGGTAATCACTACTCAGGGCTCTGGAGAGAGAGCCAGAGCCTGGCCGTGAGAGTCTCTAGGATCCAAGAGTGATGGAGGCCTCTGCTCATCCAGATTGAGCTCCACCTTGCCAGGATGCCATGGGGTCCCGAGAGCTGTGGGCTCCATGTGGGTGTCTTGTGTCCTTTCCAACACAGCCTGGTTGATTGTGCAGATGAGCCAGGACCTCTTCAGGACTTAACTCCCTGTACTGCCAACAGGGATCATGCTCTCTGCCCTCCCTGTGTCCTGACATGGCTGTAAGGGTCCATGAGGCAGGAGACAGTCACATTGAGTTTTAAAGCATGAATACTCTTCGTATCTGCCTTAGTTATTTTTAGGTCTTTTGAAGTAACATCCCATTTAAAATCTTTTTCTTTTTCAGTAATATTCTAACTTAATTCAGATATCAGCGGTTGTCAGCCATGCTAATTGGGGATGTTGAAGTGGCAATGGGTCCATAGGTTACCAAGGTACATTGTTTGTTTGGGGAACCTTCATCCTCGTCATGTTTTCTAGACACCTGTGCACAGGTATGCCGGGGCCTTCCTTCCTCCTCTGGTCCAGACAGCTCTGTTAAGCCCGGTGTCAGCGTGCAGGTCCAGAGTCCTCATCTCCCTCATGGTGAGTTCCCAGATCTCTCTGAATGCCCCTGGGCGCTCTTTCTAAAGCCCACACCATGGATGTGTTTGTGCATACCCATGGTATATGCTTGGGTCACCTCATGGATGGCAGAATGTCCCTATTCTTACCACCCTCCTTTGTGGCCCAGTTTGCAAAATACCTTCATTTTTAAAGGAGGATGTAGAATCTTCTTTATAGCTCACCCAAACAAAGAAGCCCTGAGTGGATCTAAAACCATGGAGCTGGGGAATATTTTTCTGAAGATTCTCGATCATGCCTGCCAGAACAAAGGCAGCTGGGCAGTGAGACCACATTTCAGGTTTAGTTTTCACAGGGAGCTAGAAAATTCCTGTGAATGCTTTTCATTTAGGAGTATTGGCTTGGGAGTGTATTCAGGGGCTTTTCTCAGTTTCTAAGTCCAAAAAGAATGACATGGGGCTGTGAAAATAATTTGAAAATTAAAAATTTATGAAAATTATAAAAATTAAACATGCATATGTGATGTCAGAGCCTTTACTTACATTGCTGCTTGTTTTCATAGGACCTCAGTAGAGCAGAGAACACTGGAGCATTAGTCCAGTTTACTTTCAAAGATCTGTCAGGAAACACCTCAGCGTCTACAGGAGAACCGAGATCCAGAGAATGAAAAACACCAATTGACACTGCCTTGGAAAAGCCACCAGGTAAGTTCCCCTAAGCATTTTTAATGTTTGGTTTTTCAAAAGTTGCCACTTTGGTTTCCGTGTGCTGACATCCATGGCAATTTCCCACTCAGATGCCGCATTTTAAGTGTTTTCGTTAAAGGCATTATGGGGCTCTGGATCGTGTCAGGTGCCTCTTTGACACCTGTGTAAATGTTTCAGGAGAGAATTATGGAATGGGAGCATAATTAATTTCCTACTGAAGAAGGCCTAAGGGATCATAGGACATGTCCAAGTTGACATGGGTGTTTTCACGGCTTGGCTCTTAGTTTTCCCTGAAGGTGTGAGACTAATGAGATCAGTAATATTACAAATCGCAATTTACTGTGCGTTGTTTATTTGCCCAATTTTGTTTCATGCACTGTTTCCAATTCACCAATGAAAACTTAACTTCGGGCTATTCTCAAGATTAAAGAATAGCCTCATATGATTAAATAAGGTGGCATTATTTTATCTTAATCCATCACTGTTCAAGATATTCTAGAAATGCACTCTGAAATTGACTACCTGTCCTGCGACTGATTTATTGCTTCTGTTAACTTGAAATGTTAGAGCTACTAAGCAAAAAAGTAAATACAGGTTTGAACTACTTTTTATTCTCCTGAAAATGGAAGTACTGTCTTAACATTAATCGACTTGAATCCTGGTGGAATAATTCTTAAAACCTTCTTTGTCACTGTCTTTCTGTCTATTTCTGTCTCTTGCGGTATCCAGAGATGCACATTTGATCATGCCCCAAATGGTATTCTGCTCATAATACTTCTCACCTGTGGCCTCCCAACCCAGACCTTTCCACCACCCTCATTGCCCCTGGCCTGCATCTTGTGGCTATGTCTGCCTCATGTGCGGCAGCCCATATCACTTTTATAGACCTAGACTTCCGAGTTTTCTGAACTTGACAATGAATGTATGTCATCCACATTGGGAGTCAGGGCCCGAGGATAGCAGCCCTGGGGGAGCATAGCCTGGAGAGTCTACATAGAATTTTAAAGCATCTGCGTCTCCTGCTGTGAATGGGCCTTTGGTCTTCATGAAATAATGCTAACCTGCCCACCTGGGTGACAGATGGTGTGTCTGATGGGACAGGAATTGTAGGAGGCAGTAGGGTGAGGTCTATGTACGGGCCCAAAACTGCTTAGTGGTGACTACTTTCGAGTATCTCTCAGGGTAGTTTCCTGCCATCCTGCCATCAGTCTCAGCCTCGAGGCCAGAGCTGAGCCTCCTGATCCTGCAGGCCCCGCAGTGCTCACGTGCCTCTGAGGATCCAGTTGCCCTTCTCCATGCCCGATGCTCAGCAGTGTGCCCAGGGAGCTGGATTCCAGAGGACTGCCCCATCCAGTCCCACCCTGAGGCCCTGTCCCTTTCTCAGGGTCTGTGGTTGCATATGCCAATGGGAAGCCAGGTAAAAGTAGGAAAAGGCGGGACAGAGGAGAGGGAGGCACCAGTGAAGACCTGTCCTGCTCCCTCCTTGCTCCAGGGCTGGGCTTGGCTCAGCCCCTGCTCCTGGGTGGCTTCTGTTGTCACTGGTCCACTGGTGGTTCCCGCCTGACCCTTTGGCCTTGGTTTCCCTGCGCTGTGAGTCCCTGGGAGCTTTCCCCCCTTTCCGTCCTGTCTCAGCCCTGAGAGCACCTCTGTAAGCCGTCTCTTCTCTTGAGCCTCTTTGTCCAGACTCAACTCCATTTCTGATCACCAGCTCTGTCTGAAATGAGAGTTGTGTGACATCAAAGTTGCTTTGTTCAGCTTCTGTGACTCCAGAATTATGTGCTACCGAGTAGTTCCAGCCTAACAAAGTTCAGTTAAGAGCAAACCAAAGCGGGGAAGAGATCTGGGTTCAATGTTTTGCATAAACTTAATAAAATCCCCACTTTCTTGCTCTGTGAAATGAGAATTGTAATTGTATTCCCATCACTGTTTTGGAGACTAAATAAGATAATATGTGCAGAACTCTTTAAAATGGTAAATAAGAGCTAGAGATATAGCTCAGCTGGTAGAGTGCTTGTCTTGCATGCACAAGGCCCTGGGTTCAATTCCCAGCAACACATACACACACACACACACACACACACACACACACACACACACACGTAAATAAGAGCATATACACAGAGAAAATAATGGTAGAAGGATGTAGTGAGCCCTCGTCAGCCTACCATGGGGACCACGTGTTCCCTAGCTGCAGATGCAGCAATGCGTGGAGGGAATGGGATGCCAGTGGATCTCACGAGAGCACTTGCTCTTTGTCGACACAGCGTGGGGGCTGCACTTTGACAGGAAGTGGATGAGGGACTGGATGTAAGTGTTGGCGATGGATGCCCCTCTGTTCATACTGCATCACATCGTGGCCCATCCCCTTGTATTTCTACCAGTTCAGGAGGATCCGCAGGATCGGGGCAAGCTGCAGTGTCTCACCCCTGAGAAGCTACCTTCTGCTGAGTGTTCCTTGGGCTTACTCATGTTTGCCACGCTTCTTTGATTTCTGCTTTAAACCACCTTCAGGGTGCGTTTCTCACGTGTGAAGAGCCGGTGTGCTCCAGAAGCACAGCCACGTTGAAGGATGTAACTGTTTGCTTAATAACTCTCAAAAGTGTTCTTTTTAATGAAAAACCATTTCCATTTTTTGGTTACATCATCTAGATCTCTCGGGAATTCAGAATGCTTACGCCCATAGTACCTGGTCTCCGAGAGGTGTTTGCTGGGCTGGTGGCTCTGTGGAGAATAGAGCAACGTCATTAGCCTCCTCCTTATCATCATTCCCAGTGGTGACAGAGGCAGCTGTTCCTGTCTAGTCATACCCAAGCTTCCCTCATTTTCCAGAAGGACTTGGTTGCTGGGTGCTCGTGGTACCTCTGGACCGTTGTGAGTGTGTACTGCCCTTCTGTGAGCCAAAGGTTAGTAATTTTTTTCAGGTTGGGGTTTGATATTCTCATGCGCCAGTCATGAGCTTTGGAACCTGGGGCATGCCTTACCTCTTGCTAAGTCTCAGATTCCTAATGAATAGAGAGGTAATAGATCTCGCAGCAATGCAGTAAAGATAAAATCAGAAAATGCAAAGAGAGCCTTTATTAGGATAGTGTCCTGGTAGGATCTCACCAGATGTCAGCTACTCAGCGGGTAGGGGGTGAAGATTCAGAGCCCAAGGCTGACGCTCCACGCTGGAGCACCACTTACAGTCGTCTTCTGTACCTGTGGAGCTTCAAGTCTGCTCTTGGGCTTTTGCTTCCATGATGTTCTCTTGAATAGGGTAAGTTTGATGCATTTTCATGTCGATCCTCAGCCCATTTTCTGCTTTGAATGTTTCAACACGAGAGCACTTCAAATATTTGTTTTCATTGAATCCACATTGTTGGGAAAGAATTGCTCTCCAAGTGGTGAGATTGCCCTTGTTTTCCAATTCTAGCATGTTCTGTTCCCTCTCCTGGTCTAGCTGCAGTGGAGATTGTAAATGATTTGATGATACAGAACTGTCTAGTGGGGGGTTATAAGCACAAACTTTGCAGTTAGACAGTTTGAACTTGAGTCCAAGCTCCCTCGGTTATTAGCTGTGGGATCTCAGGTTAGTCATCTAACGAATCCGAAGGTCAGGGTTTTGTTATTACAGAGAGACTAAAATAGAGAACAAGATCCAGACTCACAGACACATGGGAAGAATGCCAGGAGACAGCGGAGGCGAGACTAGAGTTGTGTGACATAAACCAGGACTATCAGAAGCCAGGAGAGGTCCCAGGCAGATTGTCCCTCCAAGTCCCCAAGAGAAACAATGTGCACTACCTTAACTTCAACGTTGGGCCTCCAGGATTGTGTGTGGATGGATTTCTGTTGCAGCCACGACTGCTCTGGCAGCCCTAGGAACCTGGTACAATTGCATTTTTACTTTTGTAAATAATAGAAGAACAAATGAATTCTTTCTCCTGACATAATATGTGGTGTATATCAGAGTACGGAGATAGAAACTGCAAAATCATCTACTTTTCCCACATTAAGAAATGTAACAAAACTACATATGTGATTGTACTGCATGACCTGAAATGTAACTTCCCACATCAGCATCTCTCTTAGGAACCCACACAGGTTATGTAATGTTCTCACGTCATCATTTCGAAGTACACGTAGTAGGACTCGGTGAGGAAACAATTTGCCCCACATTGCATAAGGAAGACAATTATTTCCCCATTTGTCGCCTGATTCCCTAATAAAAGTGAGAATAGGTGACTAATATTCATGTTGAATATTCATGTTTCATTATTTTTCTTTGAAGATTAAGTTGTCAATCATGGATATTTTCTTAATATTTATTTTCTTAATATTTATTTCTTAGACCAACACTCCTTTAAAATCTGAAATTGCCATCTCTCTTTAAGATGCAATCTTTTATTCTTATGCAATATAAAATCTCTTTTTTTTTTTTTACAATTAATGCACGGAGATAACAGCAATATTAAGAATATGGGATATTCTACAGCTGAAACACCAGGCTTCAGTATTACTTTCCCTGCCCACTATCATTTCTTGCAGAGAGGTGGGAGAAAGTTCAAAATTATGGAGAGAATATAGTTGTTAGAACATGGAGATTTAATAATTTTCTGAAAGAAATTTCCCCAGTGACAAGGATTGCTATGAATACATAGTAATTTATGATTTTTTTATAACCCAAACAATTAATTATCTAATTACTTTTTTAATTAGGGGAAAAATAAAAAAGAGACTACAACAGAGATGTGTAGATGGATTCTTTAATTAGAAAACATGACAAACTCTTTCAAACGGGATTATAAATGACCAGTTAATTTTAATACATTTCCTACCTGAAGGGGTTCTTTTCTGGGTCAAAGTGGTGTTATATGGCATTAGAATCATCACCCTGTAGTTGTGAAATATCATCTATTAGTGTGAATATACGTCTTGGTGGTGGTGATGGGTTTTCTCATAGAGTGACTCAAAAGCATCTCTATAATAGTGAGAATCTCAAATCACTGGAGCAGCAGCCTTGGAGATGACCTCGCTAAACTCCCCCTTTGGGCAAGAAATCCAAAGGAATGGGGAAACATTGGGGTTTGTCAAAGCCCAACACAACCAGCATTCAAAGGCAGGTCCTCTGACCCCAAACCCAGGGCTCTTCTCTTCTGGTGGGAATGAAAAGTGGGAGAGTGGGTTTCCACTTGGTGCCAGTGCAGATCCTTGATGGTGTGGACTCCCCCTCCTCCCTGCGATTGCCGGGCAACGTCTGCCAGGAGCCCTGAAAGCGTAAGCAGTTGCCACCTATTGGGAACTGTCACCTCTTTTCTATCAAGACTGTGATGCCAAATGTATTTTAAGTCATGAGCAGATATCTATAGCTACCTCTAGAAGAAATGGGAGCTGAACTCTGTGCAGTGTGTTGGGCTGGGTGCTGCAAGAGGAAAGAAAGCCAGGTTCTGCCCATGGGGAAATATTTTCTTCAATTAAAAATCTCTTAAAGCTCAAAAGCCTAGCAAAACTCTGTTCTCACCTGAGGGACTTGGAATTTTAGAGGAATGGACCTGGTGTTTGCTCTTTTGCTTTTCTTTAATGTCTGAAGCTCTGTTGATGTCTCATTTGTGATTAGGAAAATTAAACTCCGGAGCCTTCACCTTTGATGGCCTCACCAGGAAGGCACGCCCTGTGTCACTCTTTCAAGCCGCGGCTCAGGGAACATTCTCCGGAAGAGCAGGCCACACGCTTCCTCCTGTGCCTTCCCAGCTGACCCGGCCTGTCATCTGCTTCCCACATTGTTCTCATGGTGCTTGGAGAATTGCTCTGAAAGGCCTCAAAGCATCTCAGGAATGGAATTGCTATTTGATACAATTCCTGTTGCGTTTGGAGAACACGAAGGGGAAGCATCTCTTATTCTCCGTGTGGGGAAATGCTAACAGAGAAGGTGAGTGAGTAGCCATAAACCACACAGCAAGCCAAGGCTGTCACCTTCAGTCTCTTGCCCCACTCCTGAAGACCAAGGCCCTGGTGACTGTGGGCACTGCAGCTCTGCGGGAGCTCTGGGCCAGATCTTCAGAGGCTTGGGGCAGGCAGAAAAAGATGAGCCAGAGTCTGCCTCCAGGGGTCTGTGTTCTTTCACAGAAGCCAACTTGGGGCTTCATTTCTGGGGAACTAACCTTGGGGACTAGAGCACTGGAGTCTGGACATCACCGTGAAGAGTCATGAGGTTTGTTGACGGTCGACGGGCAGAATCCTGCAGACTTGCTTCCTCAGACGCGGCAGATCAGTGCTCTACCTATGAAAATAGGCTTGCAGAAGAATACAAAGTTTTGAGGAATAATAAAAAAAAAATAACTACCAACTTTCAACCATCTTTACTGAGTGATAAAATGCTGAAAAACGCAAGAATTTCAGTTTCTTTTTGAGTGACACCAAGACTTGGCAAGTTATTGTTTTGCTGCTTGGTAGGCTTATTAAAGAATTCTGTTTGGAATTTGCTTAGCTAATGAAAGAGTGAGGTTTTTTCCCCCCTCTCATCCCTTTGACTCTTTTTCTCAGTCAATCAGTGTGACAATGAAGTTGTCATGTCAGTGGGCTGACTTCTCTGCTGCTTTGTAGCAACAGACTCTTCTGTGCTTGTCCTTGACAGCTTTTTCCCAGGATCTCTGTTATGAAGGCGCAGATTATAGGAGGGTGACGACAGCCTCAAGGAAAAAGAGAAGCACAGCTCCCTTCAAAGTAGTACTAGTTCTTCAATTCTCTTTGCATCTGAGTGACTAAAAGTTCAGGTTTTTGGAATATGTTCCTGGATTAATACCTGCAGGAAACCCAGCAATGCTGCTGTGTGGGGTCCACAGTGTTTCCTTTTCTTCTTCCAGCAAAATGATGACAACCTGACTACAATCAGGTGCTGGAGAGCAAGACCATGACATCCCATTCGCCTATTAATAGGGTAGGGGCAGGGAGTGTTATCCTCATTTGTCAGCTCCCAGAACGGCAGGTATCAAATGGAAAAATCTCTTCTACAACACCCATATTCAAGGGACATTGTCCATATTCTGTGCTCAAGACATACCAACCTGTACTTCAAAACGTCCCCAAGAATAATAAACGAGGTAAAAGAGAGAAAGAGAAATCAATACGAGTTAAGGAAAATTGGTTTTACATAGAATCTATTAAAGTTTTTTTCTGTGATTGTTCAGCGGTTCTTTGAAAGTGACTTTTTCAATAATAAGTAAAATGTCAGCATGACCTGGACATAATGGATTTCTTGTGTTTTGAAGGTCTTTAGCAGTCACAATGCCCCTTCTATAGTAGGGCAAGCTTTCAGAGTCTCGGTGCTGCTTATGCTTCTCCATTACCAGGCATCCAGTTTCTGAAAGCTGCTATCCAGAGGAGGGCTTTTTCTGGCTGATAAACCAGAATCCAAGGCCCTAGCACCCTTCATTTTAGTGATTTGGGGAAGAAAAGTTACAACCACAGCTATATCTGCACGAAGCCATTCAAGTGACCCTTTTCAATGACGCATGAATGGATAGATGATGGGTGGATTAATTCAGCCAAACAATCTGTTAATTCGTATATGTAAATATACCACAGCATTTTCTAGTAATCTAATACTTAGATATTGAATAATGGTAGCAAGAGAAAAAATATAATTTATCCACAACCCTATTACCTGGAGAAATCACTGTAGCATGTGATATATTTTACTCATCTTTTAAATATGCCACGTTTTAATATTTAAAAAAGTAAAATTTTTCATAAAGCTTTATATTCTGCTTTTTTTACTAGGCACACAACTAACCATTTTCTGATTATCTCTTTTTCCTGTTTTACAGTTTAAGTATTTATGTAGAACTGATTATTTGGATTATTTCTAATTTTTAATATTATTAGTGGGACTTAAATAATACCTTTTACATAGATGTTCACTTTTCACTCATCATATTTTTAGCTAAAGAGGGAGAATTCACGAGAAAGAGAGAGAGACACCCAGAAGCATGTGAGTTTTCATGGGACATTGCCAAGTGGTCTTCTGAGATCACCCCAATTTATCCTCATGTCAGCGGGGCAGAAGAACACTGTCACCTCATAACCTTGTGAGTTCTGATTGTCTTGTGTATTTGAAAAGCCAATTTTGTATTGAAAACATTTTATTTCAGAAGGAGGGGCCCAGATTTCCTTTGTGTGTGGTTATGAGGACCAGGCGGGGGGGCCAGAGAAGCTGTCAATACTGAGGCCAAGTTTGAACTGAATCTTGCTGGGGGAGGGGAATCCGCAGGCGCAGAGGGGTGAGGAGTTGCAGCTAGGAAAGGCAGTGGCATACGCCAAGGCCTGAGGTCAGGAGGACTCGGATTTCTTCCCAGGCTTTCCTCAGAGCAGCAGGAGTTGCAGAGGACTCTTTGGAAGGGCGTTCTTCACCTTCCCTTAGTCTCCATCAATTTATACCTCATTTGAAGCATTCTCTGTCATTTATGTTTCCACCTCTGTCCTCTCCGTCTGGCTCTGCACATCTTTATTTCTGAGTCACCCTGGAAATCTTCTTAAGCTCCTAGCTCCTAGTGGGTGGAGAAGAGAGGGGTTGAGGGTCTCAGGAGGTGGAGGAAGGGAGTCGGGTCACTCGGGAAGGGAACAGAGAGGAGCTCTGTGACGTGTCCAGCGGGGCACCAGCTCACATCCACTGACTAGGAGCTCAGCCCTGAACAGGTAGCGCAGGACAGGGTACCACCAAGGGTAGGGACTTAACCAGTGCGTGCCCAGGGGGTCGGAGCAGGGAAGCCCACCGTATGATTTGAGGTTAGGAGGAGGCCTGGCCGCACTAGGGAGGACGCATGCGAGGGGAGACTGTGTGGAGCACAGCTGGAAGCCACCGTATTCAAGGGAGAAGAGGACACTGAACAGCGGGAGCAGGAAGTGGACAGGAGCGCAGGCCCCAGCGACGACTTTCCAGCGTTTGGGACAGGAGCGGTGTGCGCAAGGGGTGGGTGGCAGGTAGAAGGGTCGCCTTGTGTGCTGGCCGGAATCGGCCTGGGGTGCAGTAGGCTGGCGAGATCGCGGCCAGCAGGAGCGAGCCACAGAGGCACTGCGGTGCGAGGGGCCTGGGTCCCCTTGGGTGGCCAGGTCGCACGTGCACCCGTGGCCGTCATTCCTCCCCTTGGCATGTGAAGCCCATCCTGCTCAGAGGGGCGTGCAGTGTGGTCCACAATATGCACACCAGGTGTTGGAAATATTCATTCGTTTTTAGGTTTTTTAAAAATTCATTTTACAGTCATATCATAAAAATGTATGATTATTTGAATAACCTGTTGAAAATTTGAATAAGGCACAAATCGTTAAAAAATCTATTATTTCCTCCTCAACAGGTCATATGCTGATGTTTAAGATACCCACCGTTCCTTCCTTCCCTCCTTCCCTCCCTCCCTCCCTCCCTCCCTCCCTTCCTTCCTTCCTTCCTTCCATTGAACTCAGGGACTTTTAACCTCTGAGCCACATTTCCAGCCCTTTTTTATTTATTTATTTTTGTGCGGTGAGACAAGGGTCTCCTTGAATTTCTTAGGGCCTTGCTAAGTTGACAAGGCTGACCTTGAACTTGAGATTCTCCGCCTCAGTCACCAAGCCACTGGGATTACAGGCACGCTCCGCTGTGTCCACCTAAGACTTTTTTCTTATGTTAAAATAGAGTAACTATCATAAGGATCTGAGATATTTAAATTCTTTTTTTGCTTTCTTTTTTATTTCTATATGACAGTGGAATGCATTACAATTCTTATTACACACTTAGAGCACAATTCTTCATATCTCTGGTTGTATACATAGTGTATTCACACCAATTCATGTCTTCATACATGTACTTTGGATAATAATGATCATCACATTATACCATCAATAATAACCCCATGCCCCCTCCCTTCCCCTCCCATACCTCTGCCCTGTCTAGAGTTCCTCTATTCCTCCCATGCTCCCTTTCCCTACCCCACTATGAGTCAGCCTCCTTATAGCAAAGAAAACATTTGGCATTTGTTTTGGGGGGGTTGGCTTACATTTTTATTTTTTATTTATTTTATTTTTTTTTGAGAGAGAGAGAGAGAGAGAGAGAGAGAGAGAGAGAGAATTTTTTAAATATTTATTTCTTAGTTCTCGGCGGACACAACATCTTTGTTGGTATGTGGTGCTGAGGGTCGAACCCGGGCCACAAACATGCCAGGCGAGCGCGCTACCGCTTGAGCCACATCCCCAGCCCAACATTTTTATTGTTAACAATTATTTTATAGTATAGATATGAATGTTTTAAATGTCCAAAGACATAAAATGTAGAATTCAAAACAAATTAGTTTTTTTATTTTGATAAATTGATATGAAAATTTAATATATTGAAGATCAGAAAATAGACAAGCTTTATTGATTCCTTTGTATTGTCTCGAATGCTATATAATTAGATTTGTTTTCTAGGAAAAATGTAGACCATTGTAATGGTTTTCATGTATGTTCTTAAGTTACTTCAGTAAAAAAAATTTAGAAAGTATGACCTATATATAAATATTTTTAAACAGTAAGTGCATTGATAAATAATTATTTTGGAACATGACTGGATTCAAGAAAATATAGATCATGTTTATAGGAATGATAAACAGTGGGACATATTCTAAAAACAAAAGAGAAGCAGTATTTTTAGCTAAGGCTAAGGTAGTTCACTGTGAACATAAAAATTTGTAATGATTTTGAAGCTTAGATTAAAAATTTCAATAAAGAATTTAATGGGAAGTGAGTTAATATTATTTTGCAGTAAGAATGCATCTACCACGTTCTCTTAATTTATGTAGAACAAACACATTTTTCATAGTGTAAACAGTCTCTCTCCATGAGGTCTAATGCATTAAGGACTGGGGAGTTAATTGGTAACTATGGTAACTCCCAGGCCTACCAAGTCAAGATGTGGTAGAAATGCCTGACTGACAATGGATGGGTCCACAATGTGCTTTCAGCTTTCAGGGAAAATAATAAGCTAATAAGCCTCCTAAAGAATACGGTGCTCAGGGACGGGAGAGATGACATTGAATTCACTTAGATCTTTTTAAAGCTCTTTTCTTCTTAAAATCTCTGTCTTTGCAGGCAGAGGGGCCCAGATGGAGGTTTCTTGCCGAGGTGTTAAAAGGGAAAGAGGCAGGATAATGAAGGGAGCGCTGAGGTGTGTTGGGACAGTTACATAACAGCGCTGTGTTTTGTTGCTTTGAGAAGCCTTTTATCCTCCATCAGTCACAGAATAGGATTATCTCTCTGCATAGTTTAAATATTAGATTTACAGGTGTTCGAAGCATTTCATTTCAGGATATAGAAAAAGGAGAATGCATGATTTCAAAGGTCTTTTTAATTGAACCACTCTTCCAAGTAAGACTGCATCCCTCTCTCAGGGAAAAAAAAAAAAAAAACCCAAAAAACCACAGCCATAGAGTTTTTCAAACGCTCTCTGTAAAGAATGGCTTGCTTTTGAGTATTAAGATTGTTTTAAAATCACACGTCTTGCCATTCTCTTTTTCTGTAATCCATTTGGGCTTGTGAGTACCTGACTTCACAGCAAAGGTGCCCGCTCCTAGGCCGGGGCTTTTGTATTCGGGTGTTTGAACTATTTGGGGAGTGCTTATGCTAACTGAGCTCCTGTATAGGAAGCAATAGGAATTTGGTCTATTTATTTAGTGCATGGACATATTTATCTTCTTGATTAGAAACTCTTTTGGTTTTGATAGGCAAATTTTGCTTTTTAATTAAAAATGTGAGAGAATTGTAGAGTCCCATGTAGTTGTAAGAACTAGCACAAAGCACCCTCCGTGCCCTCTGCTCGGTTCCCTTCAACACGTAACAGCACCTGCAGTCCGGCTGTGACAGTGCAGTGCCACCTCTGGGCTGGGCACGGATGCAGTCAGGACACAGAAGGCTGCTGCACCTCAGGATCCTCCAGGTCGCCCTTTGACAGACACACAAGTCTCTGCCCACTCTGACCCTGCTCACCCCGGCATTCCTGAGTTTGTGGTTCATTCCCATGATTCTCCTTTTCAAGAATATTACATAAATTTACATATGACTAAAAAGATCCTGAAGTGTGCGACCTTTTGGGATGGACTTTTTTGTACTCAGTACGATTCTCTGGTCATCAACCCAAGTTCTTGTGTATCTCAACAATGTGTTCTTGGTTACTGTATTATTCTACAGTGTAGATGGACCGTGATTTTAATTCACCCGAGGAAGGCCGACTGGCTTGTTTTCCACTTTTGATGAAGAAGAGCTCTTTCCTTCCTTGAACTGCTTTTGTGTACTTGTCAAAATAAATTGTCCGTATACATGTGGAACTGTTTCTGGGTTTCTGTTCTGTCTCAGTGATCTAGGTATCTATCCCTCTGCCAAGACCTTAATCTTTGAATTGCTATATTGATACAGTAAATCTTTAAATTGAATAATTGATTCTCTATGCTTTGTTCCTTGTAAAAATTCTTTGAGCTATTCTAGTTCTTTTGCTTTTCCATATAAATTTTAAAAAAATCATTTCCATAGCTATACGCATATTCCTTCCACTTTAACAGAAATGACATTGAACATATCAATCTGAATGAAATTAATTCTTTTCTATAATTGGGTCTTAAAATCCATGAATACGGTAAGTCTATTTATTTAAAACATGACTTCTTTCATAAATTCTGTTAGGACAAGTTTTTTTTGCATCTTTGTTATATTTACACCTAAGTATTTAATTTTTTGAGTGATTGTAAATATTGCATTTCTAATGGTAGGCTCACGTTTTTACTAACTAGTATTAAACACAATTTATTTTTAATGTTTATCTTTTATCCTGGGATCTGACAGAATTTCCTAATTAGTTCTAGAAGTTTATTTTGTAGATTCCTTCCTGATTTTTATGTAGGCTATAATGTCTTCTGCAGTTAGGGCCAATGAAATTTTTCCTTTCCAATTTGTGTATCTTTTATTAACTTTTTTTTTTTTTTTTTTTTTTTTTTGCCATGTAGCACTAACCAGAGCTTCCAATGCCACTGAAAGACCTGAAAGACCTCTGGAATTGTAGTCCCCAAATATACTTTTCCTCCTGTAAGTTCTCATCAGGTCTTTTGGTCACAGCAAAATCTGGTCAATAATTTCTTGTATTTATTTTAATTAAAATGTCTGGGGATTGCAGCTGCACCTGGTGGGAAGAGTTGGAAAAGTACATCTCTCCTTCTCTGAAGCAGAAGGGAAATGGATTTATAATGCCTTTCTAACTGTCAAACAGTGCAGGCTCCTGGTAGCTCTCCCTTCTGCTACTGAGCCAGGGTGAACACTCAGTTTTCATGGTTCAGTAAAGGGAAGCCTTGGGGGACAGGCATGTCATCAATCCTTGTGTCATTAGGAAGTGGCTGGGTCTCTGGTTCCAGACCAGGCCCTCTGTTGGGCAGTGAGAACTGCCCGGAATCATGGTGTCACTTCAAGACCCTCCTATGTCCTAAGGATTTCCACGAATCGGACCCAGAAATCCTTAGGACATAACTCCCATAAAGCCCAGCAACTAGAGCATGCTGGAGGGTCCTGGGGGCTAAATGGAAAGATTTCACTGTACAAATACCCCTAATCTGCTCGGCTGCCTCCAAGGGCCATTGGGTTTAAAGATAATGATATGTTTATCTCATTAGAGAATTCCTTGGACAGGAAACCACAGCATCTTTTCCTTCTCTAACACTTTTTACATGTACACATAAATCTATCTGCATTCACACATACAGGCACATTGACAATATTTTATATTGGAACCCATGATTGAGAAGGAAAGAGAGGATAGAGTAAAACAATTGGAGGGAGGTTCAGAAAAACAGGTAGGCAAAGACGAGCGCTGGTCTAAGTGATGAAAGACTGTGTGGAAGTCTTCAGGGAGTGCCCTGTAGGGACTGAGCTCACAGATAAGCAAACACAGGGTGTGGTGACAAGTGGAGTAGCCACCCTAAAGAGAGGGTGGCACAAACTGGAGAGAGAAGGGACATCTTAGAGGAAGACTGTGTCGGGGTTTCTAGAAGAGATTGACAGGACTGACAATAATTGAGCAAACACACAGGCTATCTTAAGAAAATGATAGACCTGTTAGGCCAATAAACAACAGAAACCCAAAGTGTTTTGAAACGAAGTCATTGAGTGGGTTTGTGAAGACTCTGGGGATTGTACACGGGGGAAGCTTGCAGTCTCCGAGTACCTAGAAAAGCAGAAGATTGATATGAGGAAGCTGAAACTCCTCATTTCTTTGTTGTGAAATATTTATTAGCAATGCCTGTCCTTATTCATTCCCAGTATGATACTTTCATATTCTGCTGTGCTTTGTAATTATGATGCTCTTACCTCATTGCAGAATTTCTTGGTCAGGAAAC